TATATATATATAAACACACACACATGATTTTTATTTTTTTAGGGTTAAACATGACTCAATTTGTCTGCAAGGAACCCTCACTCAGTCTGAATGTAAGATCTGAAGTTTCTTTCCTTGGGATTCTTAGATTCTCTCTCTTTAGAATACAGTTCAGCAAAAACAGGAGATACATGAAGGCAAGTGAATAGTTATGTGCATTAAATTCAACAAGATTTTTGTTTTTTTGGAGACAGGGTCTTGCTGTGTTGCCCAGGCTGGTCTCAAACTTCTGCCTCAAGTGATCCTCTCATTTGGCCTCCCAAAAGTGTGAACCACCACTCCCGGTCCTTAAACTTCATAAGATTATATCAAGGATATTTTCAACCTTAACACTATCATGGAGTTCCCAAAAGAGTGAAAGATGTGGCCCAGTCTGGGTCACAGTTAAACTGAGGAGGCCCAGTATACAAGCATAGGAGCAAGAATGAGGCACCAGGCAGATGATGTAGCTCTACAAGCCCTTGATGGTCCCTGTGAGGCATTAATGGCCGGAAAATGAGATCCTGAAATTGCATGTAAAATATTCTGTGCATGTACTAAGGTGTATTTTCCCTAAAAGGGTGGAGGTGGATAGGCCCATAGCTTTCATTAAATTCCCAAAGCCATCTGTGACTGATAAAACATTAAGATCTAGCACAATATCCACTCCTCACACCTCTATGGAGGAAACTGAGGCCTGAGCAATTAGGTGATTTCTCCCAGACCTCATGGCACACTCACTGTAGTGTCACATCTGTGTCTAGATCCCAATGTCCAGGGATCTTTCCACTTCTTGGCCACGTCGTTGTCCTATCAGAGAAGCCTGAAGGCTCTGGCAGTTTTGTTGGAAAGTCTTCATAAATTGATGGCAGTGTTTCCATTTGTCCTAAGTTAAATATAATATCAAAGGGTAGCACTTTAAAATTAAGGGTAAATACTAGGCTTATCATGTTTGATCTCCGTTTGACACCAGATTATATAACTATACTATGATACTTACATCTCCCTGTCCCTTCTCCCTGGCTCTCTACAATTTGAAGATGCTTTTAAATTCCTTTTACATTTGTACCAGGTCAGAATGCAAATTTTATAATAAAATTACCGAGTTGTGTTTGAGCTTTTAAAATTGTAGTTTCATAGGCTCTTAGTTTCTAAAATAGTGATTTGCTTTATTTATACACGAGCTAAGCTATTTAACTCTTTAAAAGGAACTATGCATTTCAATATTTGGTTTTCTCTGTAGAAAATGACAATCAGAAGTTCCCCAGGGAAATTGTTGTTTCAACTCCATTTTTATGCTTTTGGAAAGAAAAACATCATTGCTTTTTGATTTGGAATAACAAAAAGAGGTTATGTGTTTCTGTTTCTCATGGAATATGCCCCCCTTTAGAGTTACTGCCTTGATGCAATTGCTGTATCAATGAAAACAGCCTATTGTCCTGTAACCATTTTCTTTCCTGTAACCATTTTCTTGGCTTTTGAACATAGTATTTCTGCGTATCTGAGGCATATAGCAGAAGGATTGGTTTCAGGACACCCTCAGACATCAAAATCCCCAGATGCTCAAGTCCCTTATATAAAATGGATAGTATTTGTGTATAACCTATGCACATCCTCCTATGTACTTCAAATCATCTCTAGATTGTATACCTACTACAATGTAAATGCTATGTAAATAGTTATGCTGTATTTTTAAATTTATAAAATAAATACACTACATTGTTTTCTTATTTGTAAGATTTTTAAGAAGAAATTCAACCATGTATAGTTCAGAGGTTCAACTACAATACTAAAGGAGAACAGGAAGTTCTTCCCAGGTTGCACACTGTCTACAGTGATTCTGCTTAACGTGTGGTATTATTGCTGAACTAATCTCACTCAGAGTGTTCAAATGGGGTAAGGGAGGGGGAAAAAGCTTCCAGTTGCGGAAGAGCTCAGTGACACATGCTACTATCACTATGAAACATCTAACCTCAGGGAGTTGTGGGGAGGAGCTAGTGGGGAGAAGGGAGGATGGAACCAGTTCTCCCTCTGTGGGAATTCCTAAAAGAAAACGGAAAAAAAAAAAAAAAGATAGTCTGGAGGAGAAACGACCAGAAGGAAGGTCTAGGAGCATTATGCAAATACAGTAAAGCATTAGCATTATGTACACAGGCAAATGCATGTAAATTGCAAACACAGAGGAAAACTAGTGGAGCAGGAGGGGTGATCTTGGAGGAGGCTTCACAGCCCAGGCCAGGGGCAAAGGAAGACAAGAAAGGAGGGAAAAATGAGGAGGGTTAAGGAATGACAAGAAAAAAAAAAAGAAAAAGAAGAAGAAGGAGAAGGCGATGGGGAGAAGGGGAAGTAGGGAAGCAGGATTAAAGAGAGGAGGAAGAGAAGAAGAAAGAAAAAGACTGGGAGGAAAATGCAGTTGTTATCTGTACGTCCCCATTTCCCCAAGGTACCCACCTCAAGTTCCCAGTCTTCCCCCAACCTCTAATTGCTGACCTGCTTGTTCCTAAGCTCCTCTTTAAAACTGATTTTTCCAGCTTCTGATCATTCATTCAGGTGGCAAGCATTTCTTCAGCAAATTTTTATTGAGAATGGCTCTGGCAAGAGTAAAGATTTCAGCTAGCCTTGGAGCAGGGCTGCCAGGAAATTGCAGTGAGGAAGTAAAACCTGGGACAGTTCCAACAACAGCCTCAATCCCCAGCAGTGTGTGGTTACACTCAAACAGAACTGGGGTCACTGGCAAAATGGTCATTTTCCCCGGGTTCCCTTACACAGCAGTCAAGTTGATGCTCTATGTGCACTGACTGTGGGTGAAGTGGGCAAGAGGCAGGGGCCTGAGATGTCAGGCCGTGGGAGATACGCCCTCTGACATTAGTTAGGGATTGGTTGTTATGTTACTATCTCATTACACTTGACTTGTTCTCTAGTATTCTGCCCCAGACTCCAGGCCAGCCTGAAGAATGAGGAAAGGAAAGGTGAATTAGAAGCTCTGAATATGGGCAAAGGGCCTTTCTGACCAGGAGGTTTCCCTGCACAGCCATTGTTAGGGGATCCCTAAGGCCAAAATGGCAGGGTTTTGCTCTAGGGTTCTGAGCTCCGTGGTGGCTGCCCTAGTTCTTCCCAGAGAGTCTGTGTGCTCTGCGTGTTTCCATGCTGAACTGCCACGTTGGCCCTCAATCACGAATCTTGGGGGGCTTCGCTGCAGCCATAATTAGGCAGTCACACAGTGGGTGGTAATCCCAGATTCCCTTGTAATTAATAGAATTACTATAGTCCTCTTTTGTCTCACTTTCACCCTTTACATGTCCCACATAGCTCTTTGTTTCTGAGATTTTTTTTTACAAATACAATTGTTCAAATTTTTATAAATGTTACATGCCTATGGTTAAATTAGTACAGAAAATCTTAGAACTGCAAAGCAACAATCTTGGACTCTACCCTTTCCTATCTTAATTTTGCTGTCTTGAGGCAATGTTTTTTGTTTTTGTGTTTTTTTGTTTGTTTGTTTTGTTTTGATTTTTTGAGACGGTCGCCCAGGCTGGAGTGCAGTGGCCGGATCTCAGCTCACTGCAAGCTCCGCCTCCCAGGTTTAAGCCATTCTCCTGCATCAGCCTCCCGAGTAGCTGGGACTACAGGCGCCCGCCAGCTAGAGACGGGGTTTCACCGTGTTAGCCAGGATGGTCTGGATCTCCTGACCTCGTGATCTGCCCGTCTCAGACTCCCAAAATGCTGGGATTACAGACTTGAGCCACCGCGCCCGGCCAGTTTTTTGATTTTGTTTTGTTTTGTTTTGTTTTGTTTTGTTTTTTTTGTGTGTGTTTTTGAGACGGAGTCTCGCTCTGTCACCCAGGCTGGAGTGCAATGACACAATCTCGGCTCACTGAAATCTCTACCTCCCAGGTTCAAGCGATTCTCCTGCCTCAGTCTCCCGAGTAGCTGAGATTACAGGCGCCCACCACCACGCCCAGTTAATTTTTGTATTTTTAGTAGAGGTGGGGTTTCACCATGTTGGCCAGGCTGATCTCGACCTCCTGACCTCAGGTGATCCACCCACCTTGGCCTCCCAAAGTGCTGGGATTAGAGGCGTCTGTTTTTCTTTCGGTTGACATCTCCACAGCGCTAAAAAATTAGCTTCTACTTTTATATCTTGATTTACTGATTTTAGGCCTTATTTATTGATTTCCTCGAGTGATAGAGAATTTAGCTAACTTATATGACTCCCACATCCCTTTCCCGCCTCCTCCCAGTGTAGCAACTTCATGATTCTCATCTCCTTCACTGGCCTTCTTCATGTGTTCACACCTTAAATCTCTATTTTGTGTTCCATCTATTGTAGACAGTTTCCCATGGCTGCCCACTCACTGAGATGAAGACGTAAGTGTTCATACCTTGGCTTCAACTTTACCTACCAACCTTGTCACCTGAACCTCTATTTGTATATGACATTTACACTGCATTCCTTATACATAGCCAAGTCTCCTGTGATTTGTTCACAGGTTGATTCTAAATGTTCCAAACCAATAACCATTTACATTATCCTAACTGTGTCTATCTGGAACCAGGTGGTGAGGTCTGACTATCCTTCATTCTCTAAGGTTCCAACATCACAACAACTCAGCCCCTCAGTGGAAAAACGTTTCTAGAGTCAACTTCTCAAGTAGCTGAGGCTACAGGTGTGTGCCACACCCAGCTAATTTTTTAACTCTTTGTAGAGACAGGGTCTTGTTATGTTGCCCAGCTAGTCTGGAATTCCTGGCCTCAAGCAGTCTTCCCGCTTTGGTCTCCCAAAGTGCTGGGATCAGAGGCTTGTGCCACTGAGCCAGGCTGATTTAGTCATCTTTATCATCAACCTTTCATTATTATAGGTATTATGTTTTCAATTTCCAAGAACAATTTTCCTTGATTCTTTTTGTATAGCATCCTATTACTATTTTATGGATAGACTAGCTTCTTGAATCATCACTCTGAGAAGTTTTTCAGTAATATGTTTTATTTAAAAATTTTTCTTCCTGCATCATAAATTTTTTTGAGTTGTTGTTGTTGTTGTTTTTGAGACAGGGTCTTGCTCTGTGACCCAGGCTGGTCTCAAACTCCTGGGCTCAAGCAATCTGTCTGTTGCAGCCTCCCAAAGTGCTGGGAGTACAGGCGTGAGCCGCTGTGCCCAACCTGTTGTTTATTTTTAATTTGAACATTTTACATCTTTGTGTTCGCTTTTCTCAAATATGTCTTGAGTTCTAATTGTTCATTCATCCTGAAGAATGAGGGATAGAAAGATGGATTAGAAGCTCTGAATATGGGCAGAGGGACTTTTTGACCATCAGGCTTCCCTGCACAGCCATTATGTTAGGGAATCCCTAAGGCCAAAATGAGCAGGGTTTTGTTCCAGGGTTCTAAGCTCGGTGGTGGTTGCCCTAGTTCTTCCCAGAGAGTTTGTTGGGGAAGAATCTTTGTCTTGGAGTAATTGCCGGGTTGTCACAGTTCTGCAAGCAATTCTGCTGGAGTTGGGAGGGAGGTGGGAGAACTGTACTCCATATTAGTCCTTCTGTTCTCTGCCTCACTTCTCATTTCTGTACTGTGATGTCTGTCATTTCCAGTCTCCTTCCCATAGCTGCAGTCTTCACTGCCTATGTTCTAGGTGGCTCCTGCCTCCTGTCTGCTTAATGGCCAACACTCACCATTCTCTTCACACATTTCAGAAATGTGTTGAGCTCTGTTATCAGTGGATGGGTCCCTTGCCATCCATAATTTTATTATTATTATTGTTGTAAATTTTTTTTTACATTTTAAATTACTATAATATTAATAGACTCTCAATTGGAGCTGTAGATCAGCATGTGTGCTTCGGTCTGCCATTTTGAGTACAGTCTTCTATGGAAATTTGATACACCAGAAATTGGTTCAGGATATGGGCAAAGGAAAATCATTAGAAAAACAACTTGAGGCAAATGGGGCTTGACTGTGCCCTGAAGGACAGGAAACACAGCCACAGACAAAATAACATAAGATTCCTATTGGCAGATACACAAAAATTATTAATAGTCTTTAGCAGACCAGTTGAAAGCACCCCAGTGCTGACGTGCATCATCACAGCCACAAGTCACAGGACAGTTTGCCCATGTCGTCAACATGGAAAACGATGTTAACCTAGCACAAATGGTTTTTTCAGTCACCAACACCAATAATCAACATCCATTCAATAAATAGTTCATTAAGCATCTATTTCATGCCAGATACTGTGCCAAGTGCTTGAGATATAATGGTGAACAAAATCAGACATATTTCTTGGCTTCATAGAGTTTACAATCTTATGATTATATAATTAATATGGTTTTGCTGTGTCGCCACTCAAATCTCATCTTGAATTCCCATGTGCTGTGGGAGGGATATGGTGGTAGGTAATTGAATTGTGGGGGAGGGTCTTCTTCGTGCTGTTCTTGTGATGGTGAATAAATCTCACAAAATCTTATGGTTTGATAAGGGAGAGTTTCTATGCACAAGCTCCCTCTTTGCCTGCTGCCATCCATGTAAGATGTGATTTGCTCCTCCTTGCCTCCTGCCATAATCTTGAGGCCTCACCAGTTCTGCAGAACTGTAAGTCCAATAAACCTCTTTGTTTTGTAAATTGCCCAGTCTCAGGTATGTCTTTATCAGCAGCATGAAAACAGACTAATACAATAATTAAATGTAAAGTTGCATCTGTGGTTACTGCTTTCCAGAAACAATACATACATCTGTGAGAGTGAATAAGGGGTTTTGCTGACCAAGTCTGAAGGGTAGGTGAAGGTTTTTGGGAGGATCTGACTTATGAGGAGCACAATTTTCAATAATGGCCACTGTACATTTTATAAATATATATGTATACTTTTATTGCACAGATAGGTTTAACCATGAAAGATAGTTAAATCCAGCCTAGGCATCAGGATACCTGGGAGACATTTTAGTTTCAGACTTGCCAACAGATGACTGTATGACCCTGGGCAACTCAACTCAGCTTCCTTCGGAAGGATTTTTTCATCTGTAAAATGAAGAGATCAGACAAAATAATCTGTTAGATGATGAGTAAGACACAGAAATATATTTGTGTTTTCACATAAAATGACCTCATATCTTTGTATATTTGTGTTTGCACTTAAAATGACATCATATTGACAAATATACATTGGTCTTGTTTTTGGGAGATGTGTTGGCTAAAGAACAGGGTTTTAAGCAACAATTATTTTTGAGTATTAATTAAGTATTCCTTTGGGATTTTTGCTCCTGGACTCATTTTAAATTGTGAAAGTTTCTAAAATGTTAATTTGCAATAGTGTTAACTATTGCTTTTAAAATATGCTTCATGAAATCGGGTGGAAGTTTGTGTGCATGTATGTGTGTGTGTGTGTTTTGTATTTATTGACAATAAAATCCCCCTTGAGGAAACACAGGATGATTTTCTTGTCTATGAAACTGTCCCTAGAAATGGTAACACATTTTAGGTTGCCTGAGTGATTTGGCAGATTGAAAGAGGAACTTAATATGTGGTCAGTACCCCAAAACAGTTTTTAGAATTAGGCTAGCTCTGCTTCTTGAAGCATGTTATCTTTAACCCCTTGTTTATCAGTTTGTGCTGATTCTTGTGCTTGATTTAAAATGTTTATAGTTTGGAAACAATATCTCTAAGTGAATTAAATGCTCGTGTATTTTAGAAATAAAATTGCACTTCCATCTTTTAATTTATTTTTGAATTATCCTTGATTATACTCATAGTTTTAACTC